ACCGCAGTATAACAACAACATCAATGCTTCTGCCGTCGTTGCTACCGTCCTTCTGTCGTTCTTCCTGCCGCAAAATATGTATGTGCCTTTCCATCTCCCAAGCTCTCTGGATCCCTTATTCGGCTACTTCGTCGAATCCTTCTTACACGCGGCCGCGTTGGTCGACGCGTTGCTCGGAGAGACAATCCTCCTCCTTCTTACACTCGACCGCGTTTGCTCAGACCGACCCCCTTACTCGGAGACAATCCCGTGTACGAAGACGGCGGACGGCGGCAGGAGGAAGAGAACAAGTAGTTGTTGTGCATTTATCACGACTTCCAGAAGCGTTGACGGAAGAGGAGTTGACGGGAGAAGCGTTGACGGAGAAGGTGTGACCCGGAGACGGGGTGACGCAGACGGGGTGACGCAGCGAAGCGTTCACGGAGAACGCGGTGACGGAGAATCGTTGACGCAGAAGGGGGTGACGGAGAAGGCGTTGACGGAGAAGAGCGTGGACGGAGAGAGCGTTGACGGAGAACGTGTGACCCGGAGACGGCGTGACGGAGAGCCGTTGACGGAGAGGCGGGGTGAAGACGAGGCGTGCACGGCACAGGCGTTGACGGGAGAGGCGTTGACGGAGAAGGCGTGGACGGAGAAGCGTTGACGGGAGAGGCGTTGACGGAGACTTGGTTGACGGAGGGGCGGTGTCGGAGAGGCGTTGACGGGAGAGGCGCTGACGGAGAGGCGTTGACGGAGACGCGTCCACGGAAGAGGCCTTGACGGAAGAGGCGTTGACGGGAGAGGCATTGACGGAAGAGGAGTTAATGCAGAGGCGGTGACGGGGAAAGCAGCGACGGCGGCGACGGAAGAACAAATTGATGTCGTTGTTATTACTGCGGTTTTTAGGTGTACAAGGGGTTTAGGTGTACGCACACAGAGACAACGTGTGTGTGACAGGCGTTTAGTGGAGAACGGGGCGTTGTTTTTACGGGGTGTTATTCATGACGTGGTGTAGCATTTTTTCTATTTTTTTTTTTTTCTTTTTTTCCTACTTCCAAACCCCACGATTTATGGGGTGCGTGATTAAATTCAGATAGGGGATAATTTGTTCATGGGACATGTTTCTGCAGGGATTACGTACTGCAAGACATATTCCATTCGATAAAAACCTGGATAATAACTAAGAGAACATTGTGCCCATATTATATGCAAGCCGTTATCTGAGAGATAATGATATCATTCGTTTCATTATATTGGTTTATGGTTGTGACAATATGACGTATGCGCCGTTGGGACGTTTATTAGCACAATATGTGCTCAAACGGGGTCTGCAGGGCAACACGGAGGCGTATAAGGTAAGTTACTAACAACAACAGGGGCGGCGTCGTGTACTTATAACAGCCTCTATATATGATAGTATGCATACGCGCCTGCATATATCATTGTACGAATGCGATCGTGCACTATTTCCCTATTAATAATACATTGGACACCCACAGTTGTGGACTACGTGCAACAGTGTGGGCACATATGAATATGGACGACAGCGGTGCAGTGGCCAATTATGCACACAGATATATGTTCCTTGTGCACCATGCAGCAAAGCCTATGGACAGATATAAAAGCGCTACTCGAAGAATTTGTGAAATATTTGGAAGATGAGAACCTAGACGACCTTGCAGCTAATTGTTCAAACACGGGTTATAAACGTCCGCACACGGACCGCGGTACGGCCGTTGCTAACGCGGGGGACAGAATTATGTGCACACTCATGTCACGAGCATTATTTTTCATGAATGAGAACAGTTGGAATAAGCGAAGCGAGGATATGCAGGAAAGTCGTGATGCTGAGATGAAGGAATATGTGAGATGTGCAATAGTAAACATATTTATGTACATATTGCTGGCATCTCCATGCAGAAGTGAAATGGGTGTATATTATGCATGGTACACAATGCAACACCTGGAGTCAGGTGAAACTGGATTAATTAAAACGGGCAAGTGCCGCCAGGGAGTGTTTGCAGATATACACATCCAGGACTTCCACATGCAGAAAATGATTAAGGCATGGTTACAGAACAATGGAACAATACAAGACACAATTGCAGGCCATGCAATGACAAGCACATGTAACAAAAGACCACAGGACCTCGTAAGCGGAACACAGGATGCACATGCCATGCATGCAACAATACCACTGCAGAAACCCGAGAAGGACGTTATACAGCAATTAGGGCACCAGATCAAGGTCTTGGTTCCGAAGGTGCAACAAGAAGTAATGCAATGCGAGCACGACCCTGACGCATGCATGGAGCCTAGCGCACACGCCGGCAGTAGCGATGTCCAGGATGACGCAAGGCAGGCAACAGTATCGAACCCTGTCGAAAGCGGTAAACCAGCACGACCGGGCAAAGAGGGCGGCACAGAATCGTCCACGCCGGCAACACCACAGCAACCGACAGGTAAGGACCGATGGGGAGAAAGCACGAATGCGGACAAATATGACCGAATACGGCCGAATACTCATGCGGCCCTCATATAAATCGTACGAATATGGATGCCACCACAACAACGCAACGGCCACAAAAACGCACGCGGGGTGCAACACTAACGCAGCAGCTAAAACGCACACGCGGGGGGGAACAGCACAGCAAACGACTTGCCTGACATTGAGCGATGAGAACGGCGCCCACGACGGCAGCAATAGGGCGACTGGTATGACTGCGGAGTGTGTACGGAATTTATGCATATAAGGGGATTATATGTGGAATATTTATTACAGAAAATTTGACAGCCGTACGAAAAAGAGGCACTGCATACGTTGTTCTCGTGACAAGTGCTTCCATAATGGATGTTGCTATGACGCATGTCGTCGTGACAGGTTATACAGACTTCCTTGAAACCTCAGTTTTACTAATGGATGTAGCTGGTTCTACTAAATCTTGATCCTATATGCTTATAGATTTCTCGTACCAGAATGTACCAGAGAAGGTGTGTTATTATCACAAAAAAAAGAGAAAGAGAAGATATCTTCTTACAACAAAGCAATCTGTATAGTTCCTCATACATACATCCTGAGATATTACATAAGCCCATATATATACCACATGAATAGAAAAAAGGAAAAACAAAGCCACTTAAATCCTGTAACACTCTTGTTACTTAAGTAACTTCAAGCAAATGCTCTACTCATGGGTATTCATTTAACAAATCAATGTAACATTCGCTAGATATTACCATTCCGCATATTACTATTTTCTACATTACAACATTTTTTGCACTCGTGCTCTTTACACATTACCCGTTGCTACAATATTATTTTTTACCATGTGAAATGGCTTACATATTTTTACCTGATATAGAGATGAACACATTATTAAAATATTTTAAATAAAATACCCTATCATTTTGAACACAAAAGTATATTTAAACCTAAAACCCCTTAAGCCTGGAAAGAATTCCATCATACCCTAAATACAAATGATCTAACCTTCCCTTATCCCCTTATTCTGTATCATTAGATGCATGTTCAAAATAATAAAGTGCTACAGTACATATATAGAAGTTGCTATTTTTCAAAATAAATAATATTCGCATTTATTCGACCGTCTGAAAGTTGGACGTTATTAAAAAGTGCGCAAATATGTATTTACAACGTACCAAGCACTTAATTCGCTCTTACATTATATATTATGCAATAAAATCAATGCTTTTATATTACTGCTGCATTACAATATTTATTTTATATGCATTCGTATTTATATTATTTTTTTTATTTAAAATAATATATATACCTACTTAAAACAGAAAAACATGAGTCCCGTATATACGCAAAGGACCTAGTTAGGATAACCCCTTTGCTTAAAACAATAGAAGCATATTCGCACAAAAATCTATAAATATATAAAAAAAAGAACAGTTCTATAATCTTTGCATATATATTAAAAAAAAAAAAAAGGAGATAATCACATAATGCACTCATGCATAAAAAACAAAGAAACTAGATCAATCCTAATACCTGCGCATACAAGCAAAAAAAAACAAAAAAA